CCTCTTATAATATAAATCATAGCTAATTAACATTCTCGATAAATAGCGATGGAATCATTTAAACAATTAAATATATCTCTTTTGCAATAAACAAAAACTGGAAATAATGATCCTAGTTGCTTAGATATGAAAAATGGAAAGGATTATTTAGTTTTAGATTTTGATATTTCAACAGATGATGAATTAATATCTGGTTACGTTTTGATAGTTATTTTATTTTTCTTGCTTATTTTTCAGGGGATAATAGTGAGAAAAACAGCATAGTGCATGAGAAACAAATAAAGCAGTTTAAAATACTTATTAATAGTCTAGATTACAAGCATTTTAACTATTTTGTGTATTTATTTTTTAATTTTCATCAAAAAATACCAATTACAATCAATCAATTAATCATTCAATCATTCATACACTAATTAAATAAATATTTTAAAAAAACAGGCTAATTTATATCTTTGCTCCTGTTAACAAGCTATTTTTTCTACATTAAGAGTAACTCGTCAGACTTTAATCAATAAAATTTCAGATAAAGTAGTTTATTCGGAGTTTTAACTGCTTATGATGTTATTTAAACTCTTAGTGTTCTTCTATATTTACTGACTTTCTTCTTGGCTCTTTATAAATGGTATTTAATTAGTTTAAAACTTTATATAAAATCACTGAAATTTAATCTTATTTTTTTTGAAATTATTTTATATCCTAAAAAAGGTTAGAAATATTAAAAATCACATCAGGAACAAAGTCGAATATAAAAATTTTAAGATTTATTATGTATGTCATCTTCATTCCTGCATTTATCCTAATGACTGTTAACATAATCTTAATTTCTGTTAATCAGCAGCTCTAGTTAGAGTATTTTAATTAGATCTATTCAAATGTATTCTAGTTTAAATTTGTTATTTTAAATAAATAAAAGCCATTATTTCATATCTGGCTGTGTTTTATTATCTGGTGGCTATACAGTTTATGTAACTTATCACTTATCTAAAAACATCGAATACATCTATGAGATCGACTATTCATTTAAGAAAAGAGTAAATTGTTTATTTGTAAGAAAAAAGTAAATATATATTGTTTTTTTAAATAAAACATCAGGTTAAATAACAATTATATGTCCTTATTTTCACTTGTTTGCTTAGAGGTATTTTTAATCTAACTCTCATGGTTGTTGACATAAAATGCTATAAATTTGATGGACCTGATGACAGACTGCAGAATCCAAATATTGGATGGTAAACTTATATTAAATAATTTACATAAAAACATTATAAATTTTATTAATAGGTCTATTGTCCTTCCTTTCTTGGTATTAGCAAATAATAGTGCAGCTATTGTCTTTTCAATTCTATTTTCTCCTGGAAAAAAATTCAGATAAAATTTATCGCATGATAATTATCACTGTAACTAATTTTAATTTTAGCTTACAATTTGTTTATTTTTATCCTACAATTAATTAAAAATTAGCACTAAGTGATGATAATTGAAGAAAAGCATGTAATTTCAGCCAAACAAATAGTTCTATATTACTTTCTTATTCAAGCTGCTTCAGAATATTAGAAGCTTTCACTTATATTTTATATAATAATTTTATTTTCTAAAAAAATTCTGTAACAAATTTAGAATTTTATTTATTTGTATAAATACCATCTTTATTAATTGTATTTCTTAAAATTTGTATTTTTAACTTATAAATTAAAAAGATATTTACTTTCTTAAATTTTAATACTTAAAAACAAACAAATTAACAAAAAAGTAAACAAACAAAAAGTATTTATTAAAATTCATATTACAATTTTTTATGTTAATGAATGTTTTTAAAAGTAATATAAAAATTTACTAATTAATCATTGAAAATTAAAAACTGCAATTTATAGCTTTTTGAGGCTAAAATTTTTTTGAATTGTTGTTTTATTTTTTAGTTAAAAAAAAAATATTTAATTGAAAAACACATGATCAATTTTTTATTTTTGAGGAATGAATTGCAGTAATAAAATTAGATTATAACTTTTATATAAAAAATATTTTTATCATATAAATTAATTAATAGAGAAGAAATAAAAAATAATTTTTACAAATAATTTATTTAATTAAATTCTTAACATAAAACAAATATGCTAATTAATTAATAATTATCACAAGTTAGAAAACTTTGTTTATAATTGACTAAGTAAGAATCTTGCTTTCTGTTATAGATCGCTATTGAAAGAAAACTTTGATAGTATTATTAATGCTATAATAGCAAGACTCCATTTTATTCCTGTTGATTGGTTGAATTAAGCAGTTGCAAATAAAACTTTTAAGGTACTCTACTTAGTTTCAGTATATGGAGGATATCTTGCAGAGAATGGGAAGGTATTTATGGGTAATTTGTTGAAAACAGGTTTTAAATGAGAACAGGAGTCAAAGCCTGCTAATCCATGATATTTACCTGAACCACTATTTCCTACACCACCAAAAGGTAGATTAGGATTAGTAAGTTAAAATATAGCATCATTTATAGAGTATGAACCTGAGCTGGTTTGTTCTTCAAAAAGTTATGCATGTTTTGAACCAAAATAATATAATGCAAGTGGGTTAGGTCTATCGTTAATAAATTAAACTACAGTTTAAATATCTGTAAATTCTAAAATGGGTAAAATAGGACCAAATATTTCTTCTTTCATAACTCTAGATTCTAGAGATGGCTAATCAATAAGAGTTGGGGCAATGTACTTGTCAGAAATATCAAACTTACCACCAATTATGATTTAACCTTTATGGTCTTCAGGATTTAATAAGCTAGCAAGTCTTTCAGTAGATTAACAATTTACAATTCTGTTATAATCATTTGATTTTTAAGGATCTTCACCATAAAATAAAATGATTTTTTCCTTTAGTTTCTTGATAAATTCAGCTTTTATACTTTTGTGAACAAAAAGGTAATCACAAGCAACACAAGTTTAACCTGCATTCAAAAATCTACCTTAAGTGACTCTTAAAGCTGCATTTTCAAGGTTGGCATCTGAGTCTACAACAGTTGGGCTTTTTCCTCCTAATTCAAGAATGCAAGGAACCAAGTTTTCTGAAGCAGCTTTGGCAACTAATTTACCCTTAAATATTTAAAATTAAATAAATTATGCTGTTTTGAAAATTTATTAAGTGAATTGATAATCATAAATATTCTATTAAAATATCTATTATTTAATTAATCAAATCCTATTTTTAAAAAATTCAAGCATTTTTATTTAAATTATGAAAAGTAATTATGTCTCTAAGACTAAATAAAACCATATTAAGAAACGATTAATTTGTTACCTTTTCAGGGCTTCCTGTGAAAATGATTAAACCCCAAGGAAGTTTTGTAATGTTTATAGATACCTAAACTTAACCTTCGATACATCTGTAGGCTGATTTATCCATGTAATTATTGAATAACTTCAAAATACAGTTTGAAGTGTGAGGAGCTAATTCAGAAGGCTTAAGGACAACACAATTACCTGCAGCCAAAGCTTAAGCAAAAGGTGGAATAGCAGTAAACAAAGGGTAATTCCAAGCACTCATAACTAAAGCAACGCCGTAAGGTTCAGGTTTTAGGTAAGTCTTTGCTGGGCCAGAAAGAACAGTTGTATCTAGAGGACGAGCTTTAACCCATTAATCTAAATTTTTTAAAGTATGCTCAATTTCTGAAACAGTTATTTTGTAGCTTGTCATGAAAGAAATAAAGGGTGAGCATTTCAAATCCAATTCTAAAGCTTTGTGGAATTCTTATTCCATTTCTGTTAAACCCCTCAATAAGTTTCTCAGTTATGTCTTACGATAGGCTAGAGATTTAGTTTTTTGACTAAGGAATGTCTATCTAAGCTCCTAAAAAGTGGGTTCAATCACACTTGGGTCATCTTATATTTGTGGAACGCTCATTTTATTTTAGAAATATAATAAATAGAATTTAGATATTTTATTAATTTTTTTTTTTTTACTTTTCACGAATATTAACACACGAATAATAAGATATATATTACCAAATATCATGATAAAACAAATTTTAGTGAAAGATTTAATCGTCTATTAAGAAAAAGTTTTTTATAAAATTTGTTTACAATCAACTAAATTTTAAAGTTGTTTTAATAGGTGTTAATAAACTGTAAACAAAATTTAGAGAGGTAAATACAATACTATAAATACTTCCAGATTAAAATTATTTAAAACCCAAGCTTTTATAACTACAAATTGAATTAAGATATCAATTAAAGTATTTCTTAAATGGATTCAATTTGTATCTACACTAAAAATCTTTCATTTTTCTTCTTTATAAAATATAGTTATTGCATTTATCAGTAAAAATTAGCTGTTTTAAGTAAATTATTTTTGAAAATAAGTATAATTAAATTTAATAAATCTAAAGCTTTCAATTTAAATAAATTATTCTCATTTATTAATTGATATTGCTACAATATATTTAGATTTAAGACAATTCAAAAATATCTTTATATTTTAAATAGCTCTACTATCTAGCTCGGGTAGCTCAGTTGGTTAGAGCGTGGGTCTAATAAACCCAAGGTCGAGGGTTCAAGCCCCTCCCGGAGCAGTGCTTTTTTTTGTTAAATATTTAATTCTAAATCACTTTAATTTCTTTTTTTAATTATAATATGCTTTAAATTAAAACCAACAAATGTTTTTTGAGTTGAGTTTAAAATATCAACTAGCTCGGGTAGCTCAGTTGGTTAGAGCGTGGGTCTAATAAACCCAAGGTCGAGGGTTCAAGCCCCTCCCGGAGCAGTTGTTTTTTGAATTTAATAAAGAATAATTCAATCTTTCTTTTATATTTTATTTAAAATTGAAGAAAAACAATTACAAAGGTTCTAACTATTTCAGTCAGCTCGGGTAGCTCAGTTGGTTAGAGCGTGGGTCTAATAAACCCAAGGTCGAGGGTTCAAGCCCCTCCCGGAGCAGTGCTTTTTTTTGTTTAATATTTAATTCTAAATAAATTTAATTTCTTCTTTTAATTTTAACATGCATCAAATAAAAACCAACAAATGCTTTTTTGAGTTGAATTTAAAATATCAGCTAGCTCGGGTAGCTCAGTTGGTTAGAGCGTGGGTCTAATAAACCCAAGGTCGAGGGTTCAAGCCCCTCCCGGAGCAGTTTTTTATTTAAATTCTTATTTTTCTAATTCTTAAATGATTAAATATTTATTTAATTAATCCTAAATAATTATTTCAATTCTCATAAAATTTATTTTCATTAAAAATAATAAAAAATGTGAAAATATTTTATTTTATATCTCATCAAGCTCGGGTAGCTCAGTTGGTTAGAGCGTGGGTCTAATAAACCCAAGGTCGAGGGTTCAAGCCCCTCCCGGAGCAGTGCTTTTTTTTGTTTAGTATTTAATTCTAAATAAATTTAATTTCTTCTTTTAATTTTAACATGCATCAAATAAAAACCAACAAATGCTTTTTTTAGTTGAATTTAAAATATCAGCTAGCTCGGGTAGCTCAGTTGGTTAGAGCGTGGGTCTAATAAACCCAAGGTCGAGGGTTCAAGCCCCTCCCGGAGCAGTTTTTTATTTAAATTGTTATTTTTATAATTCTTAAATTATTAAATATTTACTTAATTAATTGTAATTAATTATTTCTATTCTTTTAAAATTTATTTTCATTAAAATAATAAAAAATGTGAAAATATTTTACTATATCTCTCATCTAGCTCGGGTAGCTCAGTTGGTTAGAGCGTGGGTCTAATAAACCCAAGGTCGAGGGTTCAAGCCCCTCCCGGAGCAGTTATTTTTTATATTAAATAAAAATTTAAATTAAATTTATTTAATAATTTAAAAATTAATTAAAGACAAAAGTTGGCTAGAGAAAGAAAGGATTTATTTCAGTCAGCTCGGGTAGCTCAGTTGGTTAGAGCGTGGGTCTAATAAACCCAAGGTCGAGGGTTCAAGCCCCTCCCGGAGCATTTTTTTTTTTCATTAAAAAATAATTATTCTAAAAATAAATTTCTATCATAATTTTAACAAGCTTACATTAAACAAAATCAGTAAATGTTTTTTTGAATTAAATGACCATTTCATCTAGCTCGGGTAGCTCAGTTGGTTAGAGCGTGGGTCTAATAAACCCAAGGTCGAGGGTTCAAGCCCCTCCCGGAGCAGTTATTTTTTATATTAAATAAAAATTTTAATTTAATTTATTCAATAATTTAAAAATTAATTAAAGATAAAAGTTGGCAAGAGAAAGAAAGGATTTATTTCAGTCGGCTCGGGTAGCTCAGTTGGTTAGAGCGTGGGTCTAATAAACCCAAGGTCGAGGGTTCAAGCCCCTCCCGGAGCAGTTTTTTTTACTCTGCTAAATAAATGATTCAAAAATATTGTGATTTTTACTTTACAAATAATTTAAACTTTTATTTAATAAAAATTTACAGATGGTTTTATGAATTTCTCTATAAATATCAACTAGCTCGGGTAGCTCAGTTGGTTAGAGCGTGGGTCTAATAAACCCAAGGTCGAGGGTTCAAGCCCCTCCCGGAGCAGTTTTTTTCTCTTAAAAAATATAATTATTTTAAAAATATATTAAATTAAATTCATTAATTTTACTTTTAAATAAAAATTCATTAAGTAAAAACCCACTATTGTTTTGAATTGCTTAAATCATTTCATCTAGCTCGGGTAGCTCAGTTGGTTAGAGCGTGGGTCTAATAAACCCAAGGTCGAGGGTTCAAGCCCCTCCCGGAGCAGTTATTTTTTATATTAAATAAAAATTTTAATTTAATTTTATCAATAATTTAAAAATTAATTAAAGATAAAAGTTGGCTAGAGAAAGAAAGGATTTATTTCAGTCAGCTCGGGTAGCTCAGTTGGTTAGAGCGTGGGTCTAATAAACCCAAGGTCGAGGGTTCAAGCCCCTCCCGGAGCATTTATTTTTTTATTCATAATAATTTAAAATAATTTATTTTTAATTTAAATTTAAAAAAAAGTATCATGGGCTTTTTGGAATAATTTCAAGCATATCTGTTATCTCGGATAGCTTAGTTGGTTATAGTATGGGTTAAATAACCCAAGATCGAGGGTTCAAGCCCTTCCTGGAGCATTCTTTTTTTTTAAATAAAAATAATTAAATATCAATTATTTTATAATTTAATGATAAACAAAAATTGTCTTTTAGAAAAATATTATTTATTTCAGTCAGCTCGGGTAGCTCAGTTGGTTAGAGCGTGGGTCTAATAAACCCGAGGTCGAGGGTTCAAGCCCCTCCCGGAGCAA